ATTGCTGGACCCCCCTTGTAGAAAACTGAACGGAATCAATGTTCGGGCAGGTTTTACAGAGTCTTGTCGCGACCCCTAAAAAGTCGCACCATCAAAGGTATGCCCAATTCTTTCAAAAGGCGTGCATCAAAGGCGTGCCCAATTCCATAAAAAGGCGTTCCATCAAAAGTTGTTGTATTTCCAAGTCATAAAAAAGATGTGCCGGACATGATGGCGAGGCGCGTCACCCAATAACATGGGCTTGCGCGGCCGTTTGGTCAGTCTGGATCGTCAAGTTGGGCGCGCGATTGCGCGTGTCTGCCTTGGCTATTTAACCAAGACGGATGTTGAGGCTGAGGGCACGCAGGCTAAGACAAAAACTAGCTAAAACCTCTAAGAAACTTCTTCGTTGTCTGAGAGAGATACTCTGTAACACTCATGTAACCAACGCCTTCTCTGAAACACTCAGCAACCCATAACATGGCCTCTTCGTCCCGTAGTCTGCCACTCTCTTTTCCGACCTCAAACGAGTCCACAGAGAGGTAACTGTGGCGGTTGCCCGTGAACCTCAACTAAAGCGCCCCTGAGTTTTTGGCTCGTTGACCTTTCCTATGCGGTCTCGTAGAGCAAAGAATGGGCATTTGCGCAATGGAGATATTGCCGCGAATCAGTTTATACTTTGAAGTCATGTGTAGAGAACCATGTCGGCGGTACACATTAAAAATACGTTGTCACACCGGCTGGCAATAGTAGGACAAATGTAAGGTGCAACAGTTAAACGGGTGCCCAACTGGCTCTGCTCCAGCGCATGTATAAGGATTGCGCGAGCAAGAGATAAGTGTGGCTAAAGGCGGAAATAAGGAGCTGAAGCCGGAGGCCACCGTGATGTTCCGATTTTGGAGGTCCGCCATATCTGCATGTGGACGGAGGCAGGGGGGAGTGAACGTGCCTCGGCGCGGTGGGAAACAAGAGGCAACACCGTCAAGAGCCGCCCAAGACGGAGGCAAAAAAGAAGAGATTGCGGCAGTGAGTAGAGAAGAAAAATCCCGCCGGTTGGATGTGGTTGTTTTGTTTTTTGTGTTTTTGTTGGGTTGGTTTTGTGTTGTCTTTGTTTTTTTTTTTTTTTTTTTTTGGTGTAAAATTGTGATTAGGGCGAAGTCCGATAGAATAAAATGAAGTGTATTGTGAAAATCCGAATGGCTTGAAGGTACAAGACTGAGCAAGAAAAATTAGAATGGAATGATTTTTTTTTTTTTTTTTAAAGAAAGATAAAGAAATTGAGGTTCAAAGAAAAAAGTTGGGCGGTGGAAAATGTGTGAGAATGGTTTTGGGTTGGAGAATATTTTAGAATGGAAAAGTGTGATATAAATATAAGAAAATGAAATTGGGTGGCCCCGAGAAAAGGGTTCAAGTCATTTCTCTAATAATAATGAAGAAAATGAATTGGGTTGGCGGAGAAGAGAAACTCTAATGAGAGATTTCTAAGGTGCCGTTTGTAACACTTACGTTTCAGTTTATAATTTAGCCAAAATTTAAAAACTCAAATAAACCTAAATTTGGTTAAATTTTTGAATTTATAAATCAGTTGTCTCAGTTTATAATTTAGCCAAAAAATGAAACACAAAAAATTGTGTTTCCATTTTGAGTTTTCAGTTTTTTTTTTTTATCACCCAAACATTAGCTACCGACCTCCCGCCACCATTTTCCACCACCAGTCTTCCCGCCACCACCCACTCCGCCACCACCTGGCCACCACCACTCCACGCACCCACCTGCTACACCAGCCACCACCTGCCACCTACCACCTCACCTGCACTCACTCCGCCACACCGCCCCACCCTCGCCATCCACCACACACCACCACCACCCACCTGTCATCTCCAGCCGCCACCCCACCGCCACTTACTTTGCCACCACCACTCACTCGCCCACCTGCACCACCTTCACTCACCAGCCACACTCCACAACCAGCCACCTGCCAACCACCCGCCGCCACACACCACCAACCCACCACTCACTACAGCACCCACCTACCACCACCAACCCACTTGCTACCATTACCCGCCACCGCACCCACCCACCACCCACCACGCACCCACCACCTACCACCCACGCACCACCACCCACTTGCTAGCCACCTAACTCCTGCCACCGTCACCACTACACCACCCACCATTTCACTCACTCGTCACCATACCCCATCCGCCATCCGCCTCGCTCAACCTTACTTTGCTACGCCACCACCCGTCGCCACCACCACCACCACACCCACCACTTGCTTACCTACCATCACTCGCCACCCGTCGACCACCCACATCACCACCACCCGCTCACCGACCGCACTACCACTTTCACCCCACCCGCCACCCAGCCAACCGCCCCACATTCGCTACTACCGCCACCGTCACCCACCCACCACCCACCCCCTACCTGCCATCCACCCCAACCGCCATTAGGCCACTCACCACCCAGCACACCCACAACACCTGTACCCCGCTACTCCACACCACCCGCCACCCACTCACCCGCAGCGCCGCCACCGCCCATGCACCCACACCGACCACCGCACTACCACCCGCATCCGCCACCCACCCGCCCCACGCCATGCCCGCCACCGCACCACCAAGCCACTCGCTACCCAACCTATCACCCGCACCGTCACCCACCCACCCACCACCACCAACAACTACCCTACCCGCACCCACCACACCCCGCTATCGCCATCCTACCACCTGCCGCTCACCACCTCCTACTCAACTACCACCGCCACCGTCACGCACGTCACCCCCCACCACCACCACACCCATCCCGCGCACCAACCACCAGCTACCCAACACCCACCGTCACCCATTTTCCCCACCGTCTTCTGGCCGCCACTATCCGCTACTTGTCATTTCTTACTCATTTTTTATATTTTTAAATTTTTTTCAAAAACATTTTTGTCAATTACCCAACAAGCGTTTTGTAAGTTTATGTTTTCCTAAAAATAAACAAAAAATAAACAAAAACCCAGTTTAAAATAAAATTTTGTAAATAATAACTGAAAACGTAAACGTTACCAACCACCTAAAAGAATGGATTTTTTTTTTTTATTTTTTTTTTGATAAGAATAAAATAAATACAAGGTAAAGTGGGGTAGCGTGACAGCATCGCGTTTTAAAAAGTGAGGAGGTATGAATTAGAGTGGTATGGGTTTTGTAACAAAAAATAATAAAATAATGAGTGGAGAAAGGTTGGCCCACGCACACACAAAGTGTATGATGGGTTTTATATATATATATATACTGAGAGAGTGGAGAACAGGGGAAATAATGATATGATGAAAGTCGGGTTGCAAAGCCAACAACCATGAAGAAGTGGAGCTTGGAATGGGATGAGGTCGACGCAAGCTTGCGGAAATCAGAGTGCAGCTGACCAGTAACACCCGAGGCAACAGGTGACACCAACTCCATGGTGGCAGATCAAAAATGTGTTCAAAATCTCCAAAGCTGGGGAGTGGTGAGCTGGTGAAGTGTACGGAAAGCAAATATCATAGAGAGGCCTCTTGCAAAACCATACACTCATCCGGCGTTTCTCAACGTTGCTGATGCACAGAGAGCGTGGCAGACTCGGGCTGTCGGCTGATGATGGCTTGGTTGTGCCGAGTTGCATGCGGTGACAGCCCGGTTGTGGAGTTGGCTAGCGGGGAATAAAAAGAATACCAGCTGCTTGAAGAGTCTGGTCATCACTCGGATTCTGGCTTTGTTTTTCCGATCGGGTGAAACGGCAAGAAAAATTCAACACGCTCATGGGTGTGAAGGGCGACGCGAAGTGGAGCAAAACACAGACAATCAAGAAAGCAGCAAGCCTCTCCAAGGCAGAGGAAGCAGAGGGAACTGCAGCTGGATTTGGAAGAAGCATATACACTGCTGGATCTGCTTGGAAAGTGATATTTTTTTGAAGACCAATAGAGGGAGAAGAGGCAACAGAGGAAGCTTCAAAGGAAGAAATTGTGGTGATGGGTTGAACTGGGTGAGTCAGGACAGCGACTCGAAGGAGTTGGGTCGCGTGAAGGTGGTGGACTCGAAGAAATTTCAAGTATGTGTAGAAAATTCTAGCGGACTAAAGGTTGAGGTCCGGCGGGCGGCCAAGGGCGAGGTAGCCGCCGCGCCGGTGAAGCGAGAAAATACTAAAGTTCTTAACCTTGCTCTGATACCATGTTAAAAATTGATGTATTATGATTGATGTATATTATCTATTAACAAATGGTGAGGGCTCCTTATATAGGAGATGTAGTGGAGTGGTGGTAGTGGTGGTGTGTAGTAGGTGGTTAGTAGGTGGTGGTAGGTGTAGTAGGTGGAGTAAGGTGATGGTAGGTTTTAATAGCCCCCCGTTTTTTGAATCTAACCCTGAATCTATAACATACGTTACATGGTAAGGAAATAGGATGAACATAAACAAAGAAGAGAATGCCCTAATGGCTATAATTTTTCCAAGACGATACTGGTTTACAACAAAAGTGAGTTTTAAACTCAAAACAGGTAAAGCCCTAGGCTTGTACAAAAATCATTACAACAGTTAAACAAAATGAAGCTCTTGCTCCAAGTAGAGATACTACAACACAGTTTATGAATCTTAACAAAGATATAAGGTGAATGCATATGCAATGTTCGTGCCAAAACAGTTTCATTTCTCTTTCCAAAACCGTGCAATACCAAGTTTACATCTCAAATCATGATATTATTTCCTTTATAATAGAAAACAGAGCAATGAATACAACACTGTAAATCTCTAGGACGTGTCTGCAAGTAGGCTACGAGCACTATCAAATTTTCATTTTTATCAGTATTGTTAAAATCCACCTACTCTCCACCTACTTCACCCACTTAAACCTACTCCACTAAACCTAACCCACTACACCACTACCACCTCCACTTCACCTACTACACACTCACCCTCTTCTATATAAAGGAATCATGAATCATTGTAATAGATATCAATATAAATCAATCAATAATACATCAATTTTTACATGGTATCAGAGCAGAACCTAATATTTTTTGCTTCACCGGCGGGGGGGGGGCTCACCTTAGCCGTCCGCCGGACCTCCACCTATTCCGCTTATTTTCTACACATACCTTCCCATCATTGCCCAAATCCTCTCTCTCTCGGAGGCAACCCAGCAACACCCACTCGAGCTTGCTCTCGGAATGACAAACTCGCCCATTATGTGATCTGTGAGATCCATTGGCACCTTTGGATGCTTGATTGTAATATTTAAGCAGTGGTGTCTTAAACAAAGGAACCTTCTCCCCACTAAGAATGACCCAAACATTATTCTTCCTTTTCCTAGCTGTTTCTCGTCCAGAATGCTTCTCAAATGCAGCAGGGGTCATCTTGTCTTCCTGACAACCAGGGGTGCATTCGCAGGTGATTTCGAGATCGCCAGTGACGAAAACCCTAAGCCTCCCAACAGCATCACCATATCTATGGCTGGTACAACCACACGTCACCTCCACGTAATCATCTCCTCTCTTCAACCCACTTATCTCTCTCTCTCTCTCGCATGCGTTCTCGCTCTGTCTGTCTCGGTCTAACACTGTTGAGTACATTGTGCACTATCGCAAATTGATGGCATTTCTGACCTGTGAATTGATGGCATAATGCACTGTGGTGATTTATTGTCTGGAAGGAGCACGGATTGGCATACCATAGGAGACATCTTTCGCAGCAAATTTTTTGATAACATCATTGATACAGGGGGGAACCAACCTCTCACATACAGACTCATTATTATGCTTCCCACTCTTCCCCACTTTCTTTATTTTATATATATACATATATCTCTTTTTATTATACTATATTACCCAAACACTCCACTTTCACACCACACCGTCTGATCCCACTATCCCTTTTATTTATTTTATTTTATCTTCTTTTTTTTTTTGTAAAAAAAAAAAAAAAATTTTCTTTTTTTTTTTTTTTAAAAAAAAAAAAAAAAAAACATTCGGGCGTTCATGCTTGGTGCCAGATGATTTCATATTCTTCCTCTGACCAGTTACCTTTTGATGAACCCGATGCCTCAATTTATCAGCCTGATCAGTAACAAACAAACAAACAAAATTTATACAGATTTGCACAACAACTTAGTTTTCTTTATCTTAGGGATCAACCCTGATCACAGTTCTCCACACCAAAAAAAAAAAAAAAAAAAAAAAAAAAAAAACAACAACAACAACAACACAACAACCACACCCACAGTGGGATTTTTCTCTACTCTGCCGCCGGTCTTTTCTTCTTGCCTCCATCTTGGGCGGCCCTTG